TATAGATTGAATAGCAGTCAGTGTCCTTAAAGCGGGTGTGTTACGCTAACAGTGGATAAGCTGACAAGTGCCACCAATTAGATCTGGTGACACAAAGCTTGGATTTAAAAAAACAAAACACTTTTTTCACTGTTATAGATTGAATAGCAGTCAGTGTCCTTAAAGCGGGTGTGTTACGCTAACAGTGGATACGCTGACAGTGCCACTAATTAGATCTGGTGTCACAATAGCTTGGATTTAAAAACAAAAAACTTTTTTTACTGTTATAGATTGAATAGCAGTCAGTGTCCTTAAAGCGGGTGTGTTACGCTAACAGTGGATACGCTGACAAGTACCACTAATTAGATCTGGTGTCACAATAGCTTGGATTTAAAAACAAAAAACTTTTTTTACTGTTATAGATTGAATAGCAGTCAGTGTCCTTAAGCGGGTGTGTTACGCTAACAGTGGATACGCTGACAAGTGCCACCAATTAGATCTGGTGTCACAATAGCTTGGATTTAAAAAAACAAAAAACTTTTTTCACTGTTATAGATTGAATAGCAGTTAGTTATCTTCAAGCGGGTGTCAGGCCTACAGCCTGTGCTCTGCACAACTGTGCCAATGCACATTGCCACTCATATCTGGTCTCACAGTAGCTTGCACGCATAGTACCACTAATCCCAACAAAAATGACAGGCAGAGGCAGGCCACCCCGCAGGGGCCATCGTGGTCGTGGTGCTGTGATTCCCTTTGGCCCTAGAATAATGCCCAGTTTTCAGAGGCCACGTACCCTGAACTTGAAAAGTTCTGAGGACATAGTTGACTGGTTAACACAGGACACCCAATCTTCTACAGCCTCCGCTCAGAACCTTGACGCACCATCCTCCTCCAGCTTAGCTTCAGGCATCTCTCAAGATACCACTCACCCGCCTGCCGCCACCACCAAAACTAGCACCACAGCCGCTTCACTTGGTATGTCAGAGGAGTTATTCACACATCCGTTTGAAGAAATGAGTGATGCGCAGCCATTATTGCCAGAGGATGTAGATGACAGGGATATGTCTCAGGCAGGCAGCATTACACACATGGACG